CCGCCGCCCCACTCCCCCGCCCACACACAGAGAGAGAGAGAGAGAGAGAGAGAGAGAGAGAGAGAGAGAGAGAGAGAGAGAGAGAGAGAACAGAAAGTAGGGCAGGGCTACAAGTCCTGGTGAGATGGCTCAGCTGGTAAAGGTGCTTGTCTCCAAGACTGACAACTTGAGTTCTATGCCCAGACCTACTGCTGTCTGGAGGAACAGCCTCCAGCAGCACAGGCTTTGAAGGGAATTCAATGGAGTTGGCATAAGCTAGACTTTTCTGTCTGGAGGAGGTTATAGGAAAGTAAACACTCTCTCTTGAAGACTTCCTTCTTTATTCCTCCTTCTCTATTCTTTCTCTATTCTTTCTACTGTATACTTTTTTTTTCTTCAGCTTATATATCCCAATAAAGTTTTTCAGGCAATATAGGAATTACAATGTGGTTACATTTTGCTTTTCCAAGTGAATGATTGTAATAAATACAGGTAAAATCATGTTTTTTAATCTCCCTTACATGACTAAACATTGTACATATTATAGGTGAAAAACAAATTATCCCAAGAAAACACATTCATTCATACCCAAGCAACTTTTTATAGATTAACTGTGTGGGAAAGCAAGCTAGTCTTGCCAGGTCTTTTACTGGCAGGCTGCATTTTGCAGTTACAAAGAAAGGGCCAATTACTTTATTACTTATCTTGAAAGGAAATCTTATAAGGAACCTTAAAGGAATCACAAACCTAAACCTTTGTATATGAAAAAGAATCAGTCAGCTCTACTTTAAATCTTTAGGGTGCATACCCACTCATCAATAGTTTTTTATATGAGGAGGCTGAGGGAAGAAATGGGTATAAAGAATTAATCATCACCTTTGCTCATTAACCAGACCTAGCAACAATCAGGCCATTTTGTATTTTTGACCCTAGCCTAATGAGCCAGACAAGCTCAGTTATGTTTCTCTGTGAACTTTAGCTTGTTTTCTGGGATCATTTATCTTAAAACTATTAGCAAGTCATCTTGTCTAATTTGAAGTTATTTTGAAGCTTTGTTTTAACTAGTGGTATCTGACTGTCTTTTCTCAGAATTAAGGGAATTAGAGCGAGCCTGGCTCCTGAACTTAAGTACTTTCTTTTTAATAATTAACCTGAGCAGCTCCTAAGATGGAACTCATAGGCCTTAGTTGTGAAACATATCCTTGTATTTGTTTTTATTCATCAAAACTCTGTATAGGCTACATTATTATTATTATTATTATTATTATTATTATCAAATTAAACAGAATGGATTAGGGAAAGGCCATCTTCTTGATGATCCACAGATTAAAAATGTCCAGTAGGCTGGGATGTTTCCAAGAGATAAACACATTATATTACAGGTAATGGAGATCTCCCCACATCTATTCACACCATAAAGATACCAGAGAAAGAGAGCTGCAGCAAACATGTAAAGGCACAGCAGAAGCAAAAGACATTCCCGCGTCTGCAGTCCTGTGACCTTGACAAAACATTGGCCCATCAGAGAGTTTCCTTCTGGTGGGCATGGGTCCCCCCAGTGAAAGGAGAGATTGACTCTTGCAAATTGTCCTCTTACTTCTTCATGCTTGCTGTGGTGAGTTCATACTCCCACGGGCCTGAGCCACACAAGGGGAGAGAGAGAGAGAGAGAGAGAGAGAGAGAGAGAGAGAGAGAGAGAGAATAAATACACAAATAAGCACACACCTCCAGACCCATACCCAACGACCCACTTCCCACTTCTTCCATGAAGGCTGTACCTTTTAAAGGTTTCACAGTCTTCCAGAATAGTACTATGAGCCAGGAACTACGTGTTAAGACAACTGAGCCTCTGTGGAACATTTAACAGTGAAACCATAACAGGTATCAATGTCAGTCATTTGCTACTGAAGCCAAAAATAGACTTGTACGATAAGGATCTTTTACATTGAAAAGTATTACATCCTTTCCAGATATGAGTTCGGATCTGTTGCTATTGCAGCCTGCCTGTGTTTTACTAAAGTATAATTCCTCATAATCTTATTTTTGTAATAAATAATATAGGGCTTGTATCCAGAATCACATGGCATCATTGACAATAACATGTATGATGTGTACTTCAACAAGAATTTTTCACTTTCTTCAGCGGAGAAAAATAATCCTGCCTGGTGGAGTGGGCAGCCGGTATGTACCATTCTCCTTGTGGTCTCCAAGCCTCTCTTTCCCCGTGAGACTGGCTCTGTCTTCTCAGTTTACCCTGAGTTTCTCATCACCCATGTAGTTTCTGGTGGCTGAAAATGTGAAGGTTTTACTACTATTGATAATTATCATTTGAATTAAAAAATATTTATGGTTGTTTATGTTGAAATTTGGGTATTGTATCATCAATGTACCAAACTCAACTTCCTCAGAAAAATACCTATTTCCTCCATGCTGTTTTGCAATCCCTTCAGAGGTGAGGATTTATGCAATCTTATCAGTGTGAGAGAAATAATGAACTGTTAACTACCTTACTTTGTGTTTTATTTTTGAGGTCAATTGACTGATTATAAATTCTAAGTTACTGTAGAGAAAAAATTTAATGACTGTGAACAAATTGTTGGTCATAGTTGTTGTTAGCAGTAAATTATAGTGTTTGTATCTAAATAGTTGTCCTGTTGACTTTTACTCTTTATAGATTTGGCTAACGGCAATATATCAAGGTTTAAAAGCTGCTGCCTACTACTGGCCAGGATCAGATGTGGCTGTCAATGGCTCCTACCCTACCATATACAAGAATTACAACAGGTAGTGAAAGTGTTTCCAGATAAAGATCTATCTAGGCAGAGATCTGTAGGATCGCTTTTCTCATTTATTTATTTGTCTTAAAGATTTTTTCCACTTGTTTGTTTGGTGTGTGTGTGTGTGTGTGTGTGTGTGTGTGTGTGTGTGTGTGTCTGTGTGTCTGTGTGTCTGTGTGTGTCTGTGTGTGTGCTCACACACGCTGTGTTCAAGTGTGCTATATGTAGACATCAGAGGACATATTTCAAGAGTCAGTTATCTTCTTTTATCATATGGGTTCCAGAGATTGAACCCAGTCATGTGGCTCAGTGGGAGGCACCTTATCTGTTGTAGCTTCCCCTTTCTTGCTGTTTTGTTACTTACCCTGACAGAAAGCAAATTATGGGAGAAAGGGGTTTACTTAAGCTCACATTGCCAGGTTAGAGACGGCTCAGTGGTTAAGAGCACTGGCTGCTCTTCCAGAGGGCCCAGGTTCAATTCCCAGCACCCACATGGCAGCTCACAACTGTCTGTAACTCCAGTTCCAGTGCATCTGATACCTTCATTACCAATGCACATAAAATAAAGTTAAATAAATTATTTTAAAATAAATCTGTCACTGAAGGATGCCATAGAGGCAGGAACATGAGACAGCTGGTAACGTCATATCCATAGTCAAGAGCCGGGAGAGGATGTATGCATGCATGCTCACCTCCTTGCTTGTGCTGAGCTCAGTTTCTCCATCCTTACAGAGTTCAGGATCTCCTGCCAATGCTATCCACATTGGTTTGGGTTCTCCCCACCGCCGCCCCCATCAACTAATGTCAATGATGTAGTTAACGATGTAGGCAATCCATTAATATTTTCTTTCCAGGTGATTCTAGGTTGACAATTAAAAGTAACGACCTTTGCTCCATCCCATTGTCCCCTTTTTCTTTTCAGTGTTAGTGACCGAATCCTGGGTCACACGCATGCTAAACCTACACTTTACCACTGAGCTGCACTCTAGCCTCATTTTGTCTTAATTGTGAACATAATTCTCTACTTGCAGTTGTTGAGGCCCAAGATCTTAAAGCTGTTGTTTCTGTTGTTTCTCTTATACCCCTCATCCAGTCACTCAGTCCATGCTATTGACTCTACTTCACAGATGATGCAATCTGAGAATCATTTCTTAGCACTCTGCTTTGTACTTCTTGCCTGCATCCCGGGAGCTCCTTTCTAGACACCCTTCTGCTTCTTATCCTTATCCCCTCGGATCTATTCTTATTCATCAGTCGAAAGGTTCCCTTAAAGTACAAGTCCAACAATAGCACTGTTTTGCACCAACAATTTCAATGGCTTTCAGTATGCGCTCTCTGTGTACAGCTTTGAATGTGTATTGTTGGAAGGGAGCATGCAAAAGTAGCACTGAGTGTTGAAGCCAGAAAGCCACTGATGTGACATTCACAGGAAGAACATTTAGATCCATTTCAGATCCTTCTTTCTAAGTACACTCTGCATATTTTTGCTACTCTTTTCTAGGAAAGCTGGTAAGAGCAGTATTGAAGAGAGGCAGCCACAGACATTATTTTGAACCAGTGTCAATGGATTCCTATGTGTTCTAGTTTCTTTTCTGTTGCTGTGATAAACCTATGACCAAAGCCAACCTACAGGAGGAAAAGGTTTAGTTTTCCTTATACTTCCAGGTCACAGTCCACCATTGAAGGAAGTCAGGGCAGGCACTCAAGCAAGAGCTTTGAAACAGAAGCCATGGAGGGATGCTGTTTTGCTGCTTTGCCCACAGACTCATGCTTTGTTGTCCATCTGCCTAGAGATAGTACCATCTACAGTGTCTGGGCTCTCTTACATTCAAGGGGCCCAATTCAAATTCACAATCAAGACAATCCCCTATCGAATAAATGCCTGTATAATGTCTACCAATGGATAACCAATAAGTGTGGATGCATAAAGGAATAATGGTTAATAGAATGAATGCTGATAATGGGTAGTTTTCATTTTAGTTGTGGAAAATTAAAGGAGAAATGAGTAAGGAGGAAAGAAAGAAACCAGTCTTGATTAGAAAGAGTTTGTTGAAAGTCATTCTGAAGCAAGCGCTGACAACAGAACCCTTTGAGTATGCAACACCACTTTCAGTGTTCTTAACGTGTTCTACAGAATGAATGCCTGGAGGTATTAAGTCCCCTCCGTAAGGAAGAATACATTGGAATTATTTGATTACATTTTCAAAACTTTTTATTCCAGTTCTGTACCATATGAAAGGAGGATCTCTACACTGTTAAAATGGCTGGATCTGCCCAAAGCTGAAAGGTACTCCTCTGTTGAAGAGTGGTCCATTGCGATGTACATATGGGTGAAGCTAGAACTTTCTGTACTATCACTCATGATTTTTCGAAACCTTGGAATCCCCTGTCCGTCTTTCTGTGCTCCTCCTTTTCTTCTTTTTGTTCCCTCCCATCCTCCCTTCCTCTTTCTCTCCCTCCCTTCTTTCCTTGTCATTGTCTTTTTCCCTCTTCCTCCTCCTGCCTCCCCCTTCTTTCTCTCCTTCCAACCCCTTCTGGTATTTTGAGAGGTTTAGTTACATGCTAGCCTGAAACACACTATATAGACAAGGTTGTCTTGAACTTCTTGCAATCCTCTTGCCTATGCCTACTGAGGGCTGGGATTACAGGTATGAAGAGATGTTTCTAGAAAGAAGTTACCCTTTCCAACTGAAACCTTCTCCAAGGCTGATTGATTCATTAGCACATCAATGATTGTGAAGATTTGGAAATGTCTAGAACCAAATTACAGTTTGTTTTAAGCTATATGTAGCCCTATAAATAGCCACTCCTTGTTTATTTCTATGTCAGACCTAACATCCTGCAACTAACATGAAAAAAAAAACTCTTTTGGAATATATTAGCAAAACTCTAGTTTTAACCAATTGAAGGGCTAAGAATGTGATCAATAGCTTCTAGTATTGATATCAGAGTTGTCCCCATTTTTGCTGTAATCCACCTCTCTGGTGTTCTCACCAATGTGTTTGAAAATGTCTTGATCCATGACTGTCTCAATTCTGATACCATACTAACTAACTTCATGAGACTGCTTCCATGTTGGAATGTAGAATTTGAGATAAACTAAATCTGTGCCCTGGGGCCATGGTCACATATATTTGGCTCCACATTAAACTCTTTTATTACAACTCTTTGAGGTGAGAGATGTATATTGAGTTGACCCAGGCATGTGTTACTAGACTAGTTATTGGCATTGCTTTTTAATGAGCAGTTTTCAAGGATTATTCCTGAGAACAGGTGCTCAGAGAGGGGGCTTGTTGACATTATCAATAAAGGTAGATAAAGTCAATACCTAAGAAGAAAGGCAGATATCACAAAGATAAAGAGTTGAGGCAGAAATGTTAGAGGCTCTCGACCTATTTCTGAGGACAGACTTCAGGAGCTGGAAGAGCAGGTGCAAGACCCGGGTCACAACCAAGAGTAAGAGCATACTGAAAGAGAGCACCAGGTAAACAGAAACCATCCCATCAGAAACCAGCTGCTGACAAAGGAACTGGGCATAGAACAGAGTCAGCCCAAAGCCAGACACCAGGAAGTAGAAAGGGATGGGTACATTGAGAGAGGTCTTACCTACAAGAGCAAGGTATGTTTTCACAGCTAAGCCACAACAGTGCTTATTTTGGGAAAGTATTATTTACTTACATTAGGAGACTCAACTCTGCTCAAGCCAAGTGCTTCTACTCATCTGGATTGAGGGCCTTACAGAGGAAAGAGGCAGGAAGAGCCAGCATGCTCATGAACTACAAGATGCTCAAATCCATCTGTAGGCTTGTTCCAAATGGTTAATGTCTTCCTTTCTCCCACTTTTATCCCTAGACCCAGTTTTTATACCATATATGTGGAAGAACCTGATTCTGCAGGCCATAAGAGTGGACCAGTCAGTGCTGGAGTAAGTTTTTGTTTGTTTGTTTTTTGATTCTAAACAAATGGAGAATCATTCATCCCTAACCTACAAAATAAGACCGAATTCTTAAAATCTCTACCAAATACACATGTTTAAGAAATATATGAGATAAAATACTGAAAAGCCTAAAGCCAACATTTTAGTTCAATAGCTTAATAGTGAAATAGGTAAAATTCTGGGAAGGGTAACTGCCTCATTAACTGTATCTTAATTCTTTTTATTGGCAATGGGATGAAGACTTTGATGTGGCACTGTTAATTCACATACTGAGAACTCAAGGCCAGATACTGTATGGCCACTCAGCACTGTATTGTGGACATTTCAAGTGGAGTCACTTGCCAGATTCTTGTGGTGTTTCCTAGCTGTCTACCATACGCCCTGTAACTCACAGTTCTTCACAAGCACCTCAGGGACTGATTCCTCTCGGAGCCCTCATTACCACTGGAGTGGCTGCTAATACCAGTTTCTTCGTTAGCTAGACCATTCTCAGACAACTTTTCCACATGGCTATTGTATTCAAATTGTATTCTCAACAAGCAAAGCCATTCTGTTTTCTAAGCCCCAGTGAACCTCTGTGGTTTTGGCCATTATGTGAAGCTTTCAAAGCTGCCAGGAGTAAGACACCCTATGGAAACTCATCTAACAATTGCCTCCACTGGAATGTAAGCATGTTTGCTTGGGCCTCCTCCTCTGCTATTTATCAGAGAAGTCCTTCTTCTTTTCTCCTATTAAGCCAAAATTGTTCCTAATGCAAGGCCCTGCTCAGTTCTCACCACCTGGGAGCCTCTATCCTTCTAGTACCATCCTGAAGAATGCAGCACTTTACACCTATTCTGGTGTATCTCAGGATGAAAAACTCACTAAATCCAAAACCCTCCTTCTGTTCATTCTCTAGTTTAGCTGGTACCTATGCATGCTGCTACAGGTTTGATAAGATTAATCATTTGAGGAGGAACACTGTCCTGCATTTTTCTGCCTCTTCATCTGACTTAGATTAGGTACCATTACCTGTTTCTTTTCTTTTCTGTGCTCTAGTTTTAAAAGTATCAAGTTTTAAGCTTTATGAGTAATCATGCAAAGAGCTGCAAATGAAGAAAACCTGGTTCTCAGAGGTGTCTGTGCAGAAGCCCTGTTCTAGTAGATGCGGGTGGGATTGTGGCTTGCTGAAAGAGAGTTTTAGTCAGGGTTCTCTAGAAGAACAGAACCATGAACACACACACACACACACACACACACACACACACACACACACACACACACACACACACACACAGAGAGAGAGAGAGAGAGAGAGAGAGAGAGAGAGAGAGAGAGAGACAGAGACAGAGACAGAGAGAGAGAGAGAGAGACAGAGAGAGACAGAGAGAGAGACAGAGAGAGAGAGAGTTTACAATAGTACTGACAAACAAATCACACTGGAGAACTCAGGGATTAACGCTGTTCTAGAAGCTGGGTGCCTCAGTAACTGTAACCATCCCAGAATGGCTGTTTCTTGCTTGGCAGCCACAACAATCAGCTTCTGAGTCCACAAAGCGAGATGCCTCAGTGTTCTCAATCAGGCACTGAGAGCCTAGAAAGTGAGAAGCAGCAACAGGGCAAATCAGGTTGCAAGAGCTGCCCACTGTTGAGGTGGGCCAGACAATTCTTATTTGTGCCAAGATGACATCAAAACCAACCACATTAAAGAGTTTCCCCTGAGTAACCAAAAAAGGAAACAGAACGTGCAACTGGCACAACAGAAGGAGCTGATTATATACTGTAGGAGCACATGGAAGGGCCACATGGAGACAGACTACTGGTCCCCTTCCACAAGTGGACAGCACCATAATGGTAAAGAATGATCATAGTAGGTGACCATTATGGTGAGCCACTCTGTGTTGAGTACTGTTTAAAGTGCAGTGTAACTAGTACTTTGCATCCATGACTAGGGCACTGGGAATCAGAGAGAAGGCTATAAAGAAGCCTAGAGAAGGAGGCAAACACACAATCACGCTGATCCCTGTAGGCCATAAAAGTGTTCAACAGGAACACTTTGGCATTGTTATTAAGAAAGGTGAATGGCCAGTTCCGTGTGTATTTAGAGATCACTTTTATTGGGCAAGAGGAATGCAAGAGAAGGAGTAAGAAACATGCTAGTTTCTGCAATAGTCTAGAACAGAGAAGGACAGTCTTGGACTAGGGAGGAGGCCCACATCAAGGATGGAAGAAGGTATGTTTGAGATTCAGCTAAAGGATAGATGAGACATGACTTGGTGTGAGATGGGTAAGCAACGATGCATTTCTGCTTTATGTCACATGCAAATGGGTGAGTGACAGTGGTCCCATTGACATTTATAAGCCTACCACAAGGGGGTGCTTAGGGGATGCTCATTATGTAATTGAGGTAACTATGATGTCTAAATGAATGTAGGTTTCCAAATGGCAATCAAATATGTATTGGAAACTGAAAGCAGATAAAGAGCCAGGAATTGGTAGCATACAGTTATGCACAGAAGTGGAAATGTCATAGGAAGGCAGTGAAGAGTGACAATAGAATAGAGATTAAGTCAAAACCTATGTAAGATCACAACAAACAGGAAAAACGGATGGAGAAAGTCTTATGGCTTTGCAATTTTAAGGTTATCATCATTATTATTATTTGTAATCACATTTTAACTCAAAGTTCCTAAAACTTGTGAATTAAAAACACAAGGACTATTTTAGTGTGCTTTGGCCCATGCACTGAGTTGAAAGCTCCTTAATTTGTTGTAGATTTTTCACTCATCAAAACCCATCTTCCTCTGCTACTCTGAAGTGTTTGGTGGGTCTAATCTTGTGCTAGGCAGCACTGGGGTGGAGATGGTAATGCCTTAGTATACAAAGCTATCTTGAAAGAATAAAGAAAGTAATGACTTAATACCACAAGATGTTTTTTGCTGTTAAAAAGACTTTAAGATTAATATTTTTTTAAATTACTAAAAATTTGATAGTTTAAAGGATGTGTAATGGAAAGGTTACAAGAGAGGGCTTAAGAAATGATGATTTAGAAGGCACTGGGATTTTGATAGTGAGGAAGCCATAGGAGTCTAGAAACTTCTTTTTCCTTTCTCCCTCTCCTTCCCTGATCCTGCTCCCCTCTGCTTTCCCCCTCAGGCCTTTTCTATTCTTCACACTCACCCTTCCCTCCTCTTCTTTTTCTTCCTCCTCTTCTTTCTTTTCATCCTCTTCCTCCTCCATCTCCTCTTCGTTACTCTTCCTCTTCCCTTCCTCCTGCCCCTCCTCTCTCTCTCTCTCTCCTTCCTTCCTCTGTTGAATGAAAAATAAAAGACCCAGAGACAGATATGGGGGTTCAAACTTCAAGCTGAAGATTAGAAAACCAAAGTAGCAGGCCACTAACTGTATGGGCTCATCTGCTGCCTCTCCTCAGTGTGTGGCCGTAGAATCCTAAGACTGAATGTCTTCCCATCTTCAATGTGTCTGGAGAATGAATCACTTCCTATATTCAGTGTGGCTGGACAATGAATGCTCTATACTGAGACCTTGTTCCTGTGTTATATACCTCTCATGAGTCCTAGGATTAAAGGTGTGAGCTATAATTATCTTTTAGACCGATTCACTCTTGTGTAGATCTGGGTGGCCTTGGACTCACAGAGATCTGTCTACCTCTTAGTCCTGAGTCCTAGGATTAAAGGTGTGTACGATCATGCTAGCACCTGGCTGCTGGGATTAAAGGTGTATGGCTTGTGGCTGGCTTTGCTTTCTGAATCCTTAGGAAAGCTTTAATGAACTATAAATAATATATCACCATATCCTTCACACAGAGTCATACTATGTGATTCAGGCTGTCACTGAACTCTCCGTCCTCTTGCCTCGGCCTCCTCAGTGCTGCTTCGTTGTCATGGTTATTTAGCATGGAAGATGAAAAACGATCACAGACCGGTCTTCCTAAGTCAATAAAAGTCACCTGCTACTCATTACCCAGGAAGGAATCTTTACATCTTTAATAGGATGAAAAGTTGGGAGGAACAAGTTGTTCTAAAGAGAAAATTAGAGACAGACTAGCTTCAATATTGCTAATGTTCACACACATGGCAGAATTTCAGAGTACTGGCAAGGGCCACTGTTGAGAAACATATGGATGGAGGTTATGTCTGGGAGGATGGTGGGCCTTTGGGAGAGCATTGCTGTGTAGAGCTTCCAGCCAGCTGGATCTTCTGCAGCTTTGAATCCAGTTTTACAGGGCAGAAACTGCAGATCCAAAGCATACTCACTCACTTTGGTCTTTCAGTTTAACCTGCTATACCAGGACTTCATGTACCATTCCAACAATGTCCACTGTGAAAGTGAACTGTCATGATCATATGCAAAGCAGACTTTTCATTTTATTTTCTCCTCCTGGTGCTAGGGACCCAGCACCCTGTGTATGCATGCAATGCAAAAGAGAAGCCGAGCTTTCTACCATCTAAACCACAGCTATATAACTCTATTCCTTTTTATTCATGTATTCCCAGTGCTGCTTACTTTTTCCTAATACAGAGTATAAATTCCTAAAAGATGCTAAGGTGAGTTAGCAGATATGTGATGAGTTAGAGTATATGGCTCTTGCCCTGAAAGAGCTCATATTGACCTTGGAAGAGGAAGGCTACAGGCTCTAGTGATTTCAAGACTGTGGAAAGTCCAGTGGCAGCAATGTAGCAAATGCTTGGAGAGGTCAAAGGATGAGAACTAGCTCCTGGTGTGCTTCGGAGACGTGGATAGGATGGTGATGTGGAAAGGGACACTGGAATCTGGGACAGTGACAGACAAAGTAGACTGCAAACACCTTGAGACTCAGAGTCAGATGAGCATCTTGGAGTTGGTGATAGATTAATATAAGACAGACCATGGGTTGCTTCCAGTCTTTTTGTCTCTTAGCAACTGTAGGGGGCATTCCAAATCCATGAGTGTTTTCTGTAAGGATTTCATGTGAGAATTAGCTAATGTCTTTTGCTCTGTCAGATTTGTAAAATGTTGTCTGTAAAGAAGACAAAGACAGTTGTTGTATGAGAGATAAAACACATTTCCTCAATCCATTACTATGATACTTCCCTTTTCACTAAAGAATACTGAAAAATGACAACTTAGAAATTTCACTAAACTTTAGGCCAGTTCAATGTACTATTTTGATAAAGTAAATAAAAATTGTAAAACACAAAGACTATAAACAGTTAAATGAAAATGAACCCCAATTCACTAGTCGGAGGCAAGCATTTTTTTATGTGGCTTCTGTTATTTTTTTTAACAGAAGTGTTCATACACTTCTGTTATTTTCTGTTCATTTGTTTTTACTTAGAAAGGGTGAGATACTTACTTACAAAATCAGGGTTATGTAATATGAATGGCCAAGTTTACAATTTGATTTTTTTTGTTAATGTTTAATATGGTGGCGTGAGCACTTTCATATGACTTCGTTCTCTTTAAAAGTGTTTCATGGGCAGGGAGAGTGGTTCAGCTTGCTTAGCATGTTTGTGTCTGTGAACTTGATCTTCAGATCTTGATACACACACACACACACACACACACACACACACACATACTCACACACACACACACCCACATACACACACAAACACACACCCTTAAGGACTGTGGCATATGCATCTTAAAATTTGTGTATAAAATTCTAGGAAAAAAATTTATTTTTCCTAGTATTAAAATTACAAGTCAATAACATGATGGGTTTCTTTGAATGTAATTTTTGCATAGGAATAGAATTATTCTGTTGTGGACGACATGCCTGTGTAACAGTCAAGTTACCACTGTCATATGATCTTTCAGAATGTTTGCAACCCTTTGGCTCTTTTAGAAGTACACAGATTCATACTTTTGCCATCAGGCATTCTTATGAAAACATCTGTAGTTGAATGGTATTTATTGATATTCAATGTTCTTTCCTATATTATAAGCCTTTAATCAGACTTTCTTTATAGGAAACGTGATTCAACTTTGTTGTTACTTATAGAAAGTGAGAGAACTTGCATTTGGCAACTGTGGTGACATAGGTGCTGTCTTTGATGGTGTCTTTCAAATCCCAACAATTTTAGAGAAGGAAATATGCTTAATTTTTTTCCTTGAATGGATAATTATTTAGTTGCTGAAACAACATAAATTGGCAACTTTAACTCTAAAACATCTTTTTTCAGGTAATTCAAGCCTTGCAGTTAGTTGATGAGGCCTTCGGAATGTTGATGGAGGGTCTGAAGCAGAGGAATTTACACAACTGTGTCAATATAATCCTTCTGGCTGATCATGGTATGGCATTTTGCTTAAAATCATATTTTATCATTGATTATATTTTATCCCTCTAACAATAATAAAAAAATGATGGTGATATTTTTAAATCTGGATTTCCAGATGTAGATGCTATTGAGAAAGTAAAGAATGGATTTTGTGGTAGATCATGGAAAGAGGTCTAAAATTTCTATCTTAATTATTTAATAGTTTTGATATCTGTCCATATGCTTTATTTTCTGAGAAGTAAAGACAAATAGCGTTATTAGTAGTTAACAGAGATGTGGGCCAGTTGTTACTCAAGTCTACGAAGTGCTTCAGGCTGCCTTTTAGCCATGTTTTCTTTTGGCAGTTGGCTAATGGCTGCTGCACTCTACTGCACAGGGAAGTCTTACTGAGCTCCTTATATTTCGTAAACTATATGGCCAGTGTGTATCTAAGCATTGCTCTTGTCTACCAAAGCCCTGTCTTGTCTTGCTTCCCAGCTCTAGGTTAACTCTTGAGTTTGCTTGTGCTCAATAGGAAAGGAAGCAGACCCCCTTCCTGCATGCCAATGCTTTCACCGTTAATCCACCTCCTTGCCCCACAGACGCTCACTGTAATATGCACTTAAAGCTTCTAAAGTGGTTTCCTGTATCTTTGCCTTGAAACTACGAGAAGAACTTTTCATGAGCATCTTATTAAAGGAAGAGGCTAAAATTAAAATTCGTGTGCAGTCTTAAGAATCTGCCCATAAAGAAAGAATTCATTAACAACTGGTTCTAGAGAACATGGTGTTTAACTGAACTTCAAATGTACTTTCAAAAGCAAGTTCTTTAATCCATCTGTACTAAACAAATGATCTACTTCTTTTTTTTTTCACGGAGTCTCCATTCACGATGATGAGTCTTCCCATTTGCTGCCCCACTTTTCAACCACTGCCATTGGCAGAATAGTAATTGAATAAATTGTACAAACTCTCACCTTACTTGTGTTTGAAACATATTTTTGACATTACCAAAGACAGATAATTGTTACCATTTACATACATCCAATGAGGTTTTTATTTTTATTTTTATTTTTTTAGGTATGGACCAGACATACTGTGACAAGGTGGAATACATGACAGATTATTTTCCTCAAATAAACTTCTATATGTACCAAGGACCTGCCCCTCGCATCAGGTCTCGTAATATTCCTCAGGACTTTTTTTCCTGTAAGTATAAAGGAAATGTTGAAGGAGTAACCATAGTTACCCAGGTTCTGACAGCGCGTTAAGACTATAGGCTCCTTTGTAGCTTTTTTGAGAAAACCACATAGAAACACATGAGAAATCCCCACGTTTAAGTGTAGTGAGTCTAGATGATCTGTGGTGCTCACTCACACAGTTGGGTCAAAATAGGTTGTACTCCAGCCTTCAGGTCTAAAGTAATTCTTTGATTTAAGATTTTTTTTTTTGGGGGGGGGGTTGAGACAGTGCTTCTCTGTATTGCTTTGGAGGTTGTTCTGGAACTTACTTCGTAGACCAGGCTGGCCTCGAACTCACAGAAATCCCCCTGCCTCTGCCTCCCAAGTGCTGGGTTTAAAGGTGTGCACCACCAATGCCCGACTGATTTAAGAAATTTTTAATTGATTTTTTTCGAGATCAAAGTTATTGATAAATAAATATATGTATCAAGTTTGCTATACTTGTGTGTGTTTTTGGCAGTGACTTATGTGTAATGTGATTTATCCTTTTGTTTTGAAACAGTTAATTCTGAAGAAATTGTCAGGAACCTCAGTGTAAGTCCCTTTTAGAAATTTTTATGATATGTTTCTATGTCTAAGATATATTAGTGTATATTATTATTATCGTTGTTGCTGCTGTTGCTAAAATTTGGCCACAGATATATTCCTATTGTATGGAATTTATTAAGTTTATTATTGTTATGAATGACGCTAAATTGCGTGGCAAGCAGTCAGAACAAAACCAGGAAGATGGAATACAAACTATTCCAACCACTATTCCAGTGGTTAAAGCCATCTGGAACCTCTGCAAATTCAAAGCGATGCTAGCACAGAAACCTTCAGCATTGATAAACAGCTTCGCCCCCTACCGGTGAACTGCATACATGCTGTGCTCAAACTAGAAGGCCTTCTGCTTCAAAGTTTCTTCTGGTCTCTCTAAGTACACTCGTTATTTTGTTTGGGTTCCATCACTTAGTGTGATCTGTATTTAGCTGAAGTTCTGCTGGGGAAGAGGGATATCTAGTATCCGAGAAGCACAAAGGGTTGAGGAACTCAGGCTCTGAAGTTGGGTGTGGAGCCTGGGGAAACTGGGCTGCAGCTCTCCAAGAGGTTTGTTAACCCTGGGAAAATGTAGTCTCGCAGTCTCAAGCAGACCTGAACTGGAACCTCCACAATGTGCCAGTGATGATGGGACACACATTTTAACCTTGAATCTGTTGTCTATGCACCAAATTCTCAAACACAAAGTGTTAGACCCCTGGAAAACTCAGGCTTCCAGGGTCTTAGCCCACCACCGAGGTCACCCCAATCACCAGGCGGATTCGAAAGCTTGCTGCAAACAGCATGAGTCTTTATTGTTGTTTAACGAGCTAACCCCATGTTAGCTCGGGTCTTTCACCCATCCACCATGGTGGATGGCTAGCAAAGACAGCTCGAACCGGCTGCAGAGAGATCTTGTAGGGTAGCATAAAGGGAGTGTCTAGGGGTACGAAGGCTTAGGATTGGTGTGTCTCCAGGCTTGGAGAGCTTGCCCTGTGTTGATCGACCAATTGGTTGTTATGGCCCATAGGCCCTTCCAGGGTGGTTGCTATGCTCTTCGAGTCATTGCTGTGCACTTGTCCGTAAAGCACACCCAGAGCCATAAAGCATAGCACCACCAGCTAACTTCTGATTGGTTCCTTGCCACGAGGCAGGCATCTGACCTCTTAGTGACCAAGGCAAGGTCATGGCGAACACGTGTTACTGTCATGGCTGCCGAAATGGGGAGCTGGTCCCTTCAAAAGAATAACCAGATGCTTCATTAGAAGCCGGCTTAGGCTAACCAGTTTTCTCTGGATTTATCCAGAGAAAATGTGTGATCGATCAGTCAATTACCTGCTGATCTCAGAGGAGTTGCTCTGTTTTCTTGTGGGGAACAGCAGCAGCATTATTGTGTGCCTCCCAGGAAGTGACAAAAATAATGAGGTAGAGAGTAAGAAGTCTAACAGGATATCGAAACAGGCAAACAAACAAAACTAAAACAACAGAACAAACAAATGAAAAAACTGGCAGAACTGTTCAATAAAAGCTTTCTTTCTGTAAGGGAGCCCCGAAGTAGGTACAGAACACACCCAGACACCAAATTCTCAGCTCCAAAGAGATTTATTACCCCAAGGGCAAGTGGGGAATGGGGGGAGGGGGCTGCGTCTGGTCGTTTCTTAAGGAGAAAAGAAGTCTTTGCTAGGGTAAGTTTATTAATTCCTGATCCAATGGGTTAGCTAGTGCAACAAACAATGAATTTTGATGGCTGGACCTTGGTGTTCAGTCTCAGGAATGAGTTGGTGGCCAAATGAGGGAATAGATCTTGGGGGCTAGCTTTTGGAATGTAACCTAACAAATTCAGCAAGGAAAGGCAAGGGAAGGGGAACGTCAAAAACCTGTGGGCGCCACGTTTGTGATGCTTGGGGCGGTTAGAGAGCCCTTCACTTCCTCTTTCGTTTGAAAATTTCTCCATACTCTACTGCTTCCCATATTCCTTTTAAATTTGTTTTTATGTCATATCTCCTAGTTCCTCATTTTTCTTCTGTATATTGCCTAAAAAATAATACTAACACAAGCTTGATAATTAAGACGAGATACTATGGTTTAAAATACATGAGAATAAGAAAGGAAATTTCATTTCCTCATATTCTTACTTATATGCTTATTTTTTCCCATTTTGTTTCTCATACAGGTTATGAAAGTTTCTTTGTAATTCTGTTTCTCAATTCTTCATTTTTACTTTGCATGAAAAGATACTAATGTAATTTTCATTTTTAAGGTTTTAATGTAGTGATTATGGAACAATTTTTTTAATAAAATTTGTGATGAACCTATGAAGTTTTCACAAATAGGAGAGTGTCTTCAGTTTGAAAAACTATTTAAATGACTTGAATGCTAAGGAAACAGCTGTTTAAAAGATCAGATGAGTGAATTCTGATGGGATTTTTTTGATACAGTTAAATTAACATGTATATTTGTGTCTGTATCTATTAACATATATAATTAATTTTCTGTCAAAAAAAGGGAGGAGAAATTTGTGGTATCATAAGATCAATACTGAAGAATACAAATTTAATCAAGACTTCAAACATTTAATCATGTTAGACCCCCGAAAACTCAAGTATCCGGGGTCCCAGGCCACGCTCGCGGTAACCCCAATCACCAGGCAGATTCGAGAGCTTGCTGCAAACTGCACGAGGCTTTATTGTAATTTAACGAGCTAACCCCATGTTAGCTCGGGTCTTTCACCCACCCGCCATGGCGGATGGCTCGCAAAAGACGGCTCCT